CCAGAATACTGCGTTAGGATGGATCCTTTCTGGACAAGTCGCGTCCAACAGTAGTTCCATTCATTGTCATCATGTCATTCAAAGCAGCTCAGATCAGGCTGATGACAACGCACTTTTGCGACGGTTTTGGGAAATAGAATCTGTTATCCCTGAAAAGAAAATCCTTTCAGTGGAAGAGCAGCGATGCGAGGATATTTTTTCACAAACTACTAACCGTGATGAGGAGGGTCGTTATGTTGTTAATCTTCCCTTTCGCGATCTAGATCCTCAGTGTCAATATGGAAGGTCAAGAGACCTAGCGATAAAAAGGTTTAAAATTCTTGAAAACAAGTTCAATGGAGAGCCATTACTTAGGGTCCGATATTCCGAAGTTATAAAGGAGTATATTAGCCTTGGTCACATGGTACCAGTACACGATGATAAACCTACAGCTGTTTATCTACCGCATCATGCCGTGGTCCGTGAAGATAAGACCACGACCAAAGTCAGAGTAGTTTTCGATGCGTCAATGAAAGGGGCAAATGGGGTATCGCTCAATGACGATCTTATGGTGGGTCCCCCTTTGCAACCTCCTTTACGTCACCTCATCATGGCATGGAGAATGCACCCCATAAGTCTTAGCGCTGATATTGTAAAAATGTATAGGCAAATAAAGATTTCTCCAATGCACACGGATTTTCAGCGAGTAGTGTGGCGCGACGATCCAGCAGCTGAAATAAAAGAATACAAATTAGTACGGGTTACGTTTGGTACAGCATCAGCTCCTTACCTTGCAGTTAAATGCTTGCAGCAGGTTGCGGTCGATGAAGGTCAAAATTATCCTGAAATAGTTAACACAATTAAAAGGGAGTTTTATGTGGATGATTTAATGACAGGGTGTCAGACTGTTGAAGAAGGATTTCACATTTTTGAGAAATTAACGGAGTTGCTCTCCAAAGGTCAATTCCAACTACAGAAGTGGGTAAGCAGCTGCGACAAATTGAACAAGAGGATTCAAGCGTGTTCTGGAACTAACATACCACCAGAAGAGAAAAAGGATATTAAGCTGGACTCAGTCATGAAAATCTTAGGTATTTCATGGGATCTAGAGAATGATGAATTAAATATTCAATACAACTTGATCCTCAACAAACTCCAATTACCAAGAGACGGGTAATATCCGATATTGCTCGTTTGTTCGATCCACTCGGCTGGGTCGCACCTTGTATCATCACCGCAAAGATCTTCATTCAAAAGCTTTGGCTTGCGGGCCTGGAATGGGATGAAGAATTGACTCCGGAACTTTCATCAGAATGGGAAACTTACCGCTCGAGTCTTGTGGAAACAAAGAAGTTAAGCATTCCTAGATGGGTTCACACGCGTTCCGATGATTTAATTGTCGAGCTGCATGGATTTTGCGATGCATCGATTGCGGCCTATGCAGCCGTGGTGTATATTAGAGTCATCGATGCTCACAAATCTATCCATGTTGGTTTGATCACATCTCGAACTAAAGTTGCACCGGTGAAGCAACAGTCAATTCCGCGTTTAGAGCTGATGGGAGCAGTATTACTATCCGAGCTCATTACTGAAGTTGCTCAAGTAATGAGAATCGCATCCCATCAAATACACGCTTGGACTGATTCTTCAGTGGTTCTAGCATGGCTTAGTAAGCATCCCAGCACCTGGACAACGTTTGTTGGAAACAGAGTGTCCACCATACTGTCTCAAATTGACAACTCACATTGGGCTCATGTCCAATCTACGCATAATCCTGCAGATTTAGCATCCAGAGGCGTGACACCACAAGAACTTGTTGGCAGCTCGCTGTGGAGTCAAGGACCCTCATGGCTGCGTAATGAAATCATCGAATACACAAGACCAACGTCAATCAGCACTAAGGCAGAACAAAGGTCAATTAAGGTTCACGTCGCAACCGAACCACCCCAGGAAGATCTCATTTGGACGAGGTATTCATCGTTTCAAAGGTTAATTCGGGTTATGGGATACTGTAGAAGAGTTTTGAGTTGGAGGAAACAGTTCAATGGTGAAAGGAGATTGGAAAAATATCTAACCAAGGAGGAAATACTAGAAGCTACAAAAACATGTATAAAAATGGTTCAGAATAAAGAGTTTTTCGAAGAAATGAAAGACATAAGAAAGACAGGAAGTGTGAAGGCGAAAAGCAAGCTCAAGAGTCTTTGTCCAATTATCGATGAAGAAGGCATTCTTCGAGTAAACGGACGCATTAATAACGCCGATTTAGATGAAGCTGTCAAACACCCTATCATACTACCGCCTAACAGTCACTTCACCGATCTCGTAATCGATGAAACCCACAAAAGAACCTTGCATGGAGGACCAACACTAATGTTGAGCCACCTGCGTACTAAGTATTGGATTCCTTCTGCCAAGGCAAAGGTCAGGGCTTACGTGCACAAATGCGTACGTTGCAAGCGGTACTCAGCGTCTGTTCAAA